CTCACCACCCCCTGCCTTCTCTTCGCGGGAGTCATGAATGTTGCTACTGTCCTGTGTTTACGTTTGTCCTTCCTGCTTATGTTTTTTTGAGATAAACACACACACACACACACACACACACACACACACAGATATTCATAAGTAATATAACTTGTTTTGGGTGTTTAAAAATATCATAAAAATGTTATAATGATGTGTCCTTGTTACAGTTTTTTTTTAAAGATCATATGTTTTTGAGATTTGACATGTTTATGGATGTGGCTGCCATATAGTATTCTATTGAGGACTTAAGGTAGAGTTTATGCATTCATTCTCCACTGAGGGACAGTGAGAGTGTGTCCACTTTTTTCTTTCATAAACACTGCCAGAATGAACACCTTTGAGTGTTTCTTTTTGTATAAGGATTTCTAGAGTAGACTCCCTAAAGTGAAATTCCAAGGTTGTAGGGTTTGTTCAACTTGAACTTTACTGGGTACAGAACCAAAATGCAATCCCAAGTCCTTATGCCAGTTTACTCTCCTGCCATTTCACAGTCCTCTTAACCCACATTTCCCCCCACCCTTGATGTTAGTAGATCATTTCATTCTTACCAAGTCTGTAGGGTGTGTGACAGCACCTCTGCTGTTTAATGTATTTCCCTCTCTAGTGGTGGGTGGGCCAGCCCTACTCTCCAGGTTTATGATTACATTGATCTAGGTGTGCTTTATAGATGAGGTATTCTGGGGTCTCCATCTCTTGTAACTGTTGAATTGCCCTTTCAGATGGCAAGTTTGGTGCCTACATGCAAGTCCACATTCAGAACGATGGGCCTGTGACCATAGAACTGGAATCCCCAGCTCCTGGTGCTGCTACCTCTGACCCAAAGCAGGTAAGCCTGGATTTGGGGGTTTGTCCCCAGGGTGCCTGTAACATCTTCTGGCTTTGATTTAGCCCCTTGGAGCAGTACTCAGTATGAGGGGGACAGAACACTTCTTTGCAGTAACCTAGTATTTATTTTAATACATGCTTTCTCAAGAATACATGTATTTACACTCTATCTCCTTAGTGCTGTGCGAGGCAGGGGCAGCACTTCTCCCTGGTCTTCTCCTGACTTTGGATTCCAGAGAAAATGCTTTTTGCAGAGCTCCGTTCGTTCTTCCTCTGGGCTCCTGCTCCCTGGTGGGGTGCCTTGGTGCCCACAGACCGCTGGGTGGCAGCAGAGTAGCAGCACAACTTCACTTGGTCCTGGACTGGTGGGTTCATCCATTCGGAATAGTTACCTGGAGTGGCTTTAATATCAGGTGTAAGTAGGTGTGTCACCCGAGGTTCCTTATAAAACCTCATTTTTCTAAAGCAATATCTGACCTGGATTTGCTGCCAACTCTAAGCTTTCAGAAAAAATTTTAATTAAAATAGAGAAAGGAAATCTGTAATAGTCCTTTTAACCTGTGTGGTTCTCATAGATACTTAATGCTTCTACAGGCTTTAATTAATGTACCCACTAAATAGCCTTGGAGACACGTGGAAGGGGGAAGGCAAATGAGTGAGAACTGAAGGAACATTTCTGTTTCTCCCTTTCTCCCTCCTTCCCTCCCTTCCCCCTTTCCTCCCTCCTTCCCTTGCTAGGATGCTGTGTGGTGTAATAATACAGTAGGTGTGGGGAACTTAAAACTGTTTGACCTGTTCAAAGTCATGATTTTTACAGGAAACATAACCTTTCTTTTTTGTTACTGATTCTTTGGATTGATAGAGAAACAGGAACATGCCTGATGCAATAGTGCTAGATTTCAAAGGTGATAACTGAGATTGCTAGAATTACTGGTAACACTAAAGACATCACAAATAAAAGATCCATGTGAAAATTGAAACTTTTTTTTTTTTAAGATTTTATTGGGGAATTGAGGGAGGGCAACAGCGTTGGGGAATTGGGGAAGGGGAACAGCCAAGTTGTTGTCCTTCAGTCTTAGTTATGGAGGGCGCAGCTAGCTCAGCTCCAAGTCCAGTTGCCATCTGGCTGCCTGTTGGTAGCTCGCGGCCGCTCAGCTCAATGTGCTGTGTTCAGTCTTAGTTGTGGGTGGGTGTAGCTCATCATCCCATGCGGGAGTTGAACCGGCTACCTTGTTGTTAGGAGCACGTGCTCTTACCAACTGAACCATCCTGCCACCTGCTGGCAGCTCAGCGGCAGCTTAGCTCGGGTGTAGCTCACTGGCCCATGTGGGAATCAAACCGGTGACCCTGTTGCTCACAGCTCACATTCTTTTTTTTTTTTAAAGATTTTTATTGGGGAACTGGGGGAATGGGAACAGTGCTGGGGAATTGGGGGAAGGAGAACAGACAAGTTGCTGTCCTTTTGTTCTTCAGTCTAGTTGTGGAGGACGTTGCTTTACTGGCCCAAGTTGGTACCATCATTGCACTCTTCCCAGGCGAGGCAGATCAGTCGCCAGCTTCTGGACGGCCGCTCACAGCGACTGCTGGCCGCTCACGTTGGCTGCTGGCTACACGCGGTAGCCCATGGCAACCCACTGCCACAGGGGCAGCAGCCTACGCCGTCGCCGGCGACTCACGGCAGCCTAGCTCCAGGTTGAGCTGTTGTTCAGCATCTTAGCTGTAGAGGGCAGTGTCACTGGCCCTTATATGTGGGATCCGAACCGGGGCCCTCTGGCATCCCAAGCCAGCTCTTAACCATCGTGCCACTCGGCCGGCCCCAGAGCTTGCACTCTTAACCAACTGAGCCACTTGGCTGGCCCTGAAACTTTTTATGTGTTGAAATAATTTGAGACTTATGGAAAAGTTGAAAAAAGAGTCAGAGTTTTCATCTACTCTTCACCCAGCTTCCCCAAAATTTGCTGACTTTCATAATCATAGTACACGATCACAACATTGAAATTAATATTGATACAGTACTGTTAACTATATGACAGACCTTATTTAAATTTTGCTAGTTTTGTTCCTAATGTCCTTTTTCTGCTTCAGGATAACCCACATTGCATTAGACTTCTCCAATCTGTGATGGTTCCTCTGTCTTTTCTTTTATGATCTTGACACTTTTCAAGTGTACTGGACTTCTGTTTTGTAGTATGTTCCTTAGCTTGGGTTTTCTATGATTACATTGAATTTATGCATTTTGACAGAAATAGCAACGAGCATAAAAGTGATCTTGTGCCCTTTGTGGGGCATTATAGGAGGTACATGATATTGAATTGCCTTATTACAGGCAATGTTAACCTTGATCACTTGGTTAAGGTGGAATCTACCAGATTTCTCCATCCTATGTGAAGTTTTAACCTCTCTCCCCTTGTGTGCTCTCTTGCTGGTTCATCGCAGATGACTCTTATTCTGTTTCACAGAGAATAAACCACTGGATGGTACTGACCCTGCTTCTCTGTCCCCTCTTACCGCTGGGGTAGCAGAGCTTCCATTCCTGGTGCTGAGGCCAGCACCTCCCCCTGGGCCAGGACCAGCTGCATAATTTGTGAAGCTCAGTTCAAAATGAAAGGGAGAGAGGCCCCTTGTTCAAAAATTTTTAGGTTTTTCAAGATGGTGACAGCAAAGCATTAAACCAAGGGTGGGGCCCTTCTGACAGGGGGCCCTGTGTAATTGCACAGATTGCACACCTATGGAGCCAGATTGACCTGGGTTGTAGAGCCCTCCTCACCCTCCCTCCCCTCGCCCCCCTCCCTGTCCTGCCTCCCTTCTACCTTCCCAGCAGCCCCCACTAAGCCCTTTGTCCTCTTGTCAAGACATTCTGTCTCTTTCACTCATCCATCTTATTCCCCTTGGCTTTTATATTTCCAAGGATCTCCAATTGAGAAATGCCTCCATTTTATCCCGTCTTGCTATCTCCTCAGTGCACTGCTGTAATCTGCAAAGACTCTCACTGAGGTCCCCAGAGAACTCCATGTTGCTTTATTTCATGCCTGTGGCCTGAGGCCCACCTGACTTGACCACTCAGCAGCTCTTGCCACAGTTGCCCCCTTGCCCCTGGAAACTGTCTTGAACCTTGTTTTCCAGGACACTGTTCTCTCCCAGTTTTCCTCTTGCCTCAGGCTGCTCCCTCTGATTTTATTCATTCATTATTCTGTAGATTTTGATTTATTATTCTACTTTAACTGTATTTAGAGAAAAATTTTAATCAAGTTTTTTTCATTCTAAATATTTTTCTGGAAGTGGTAGAGTAATACATCATATCTTTAGGATCTTCATCCTTCTTTCAACTAGTACCTCTTCTTTTCTTCTTTAAAACATAAAAACAAATAGGCACAATTTTTTAACCTCTAGTGAGCTACGTGAACTTATTAGGATAAGAAAGTCTTTTATTTTAGTTATTTCTGAATCTTTTATGAGCTTTCTCCTCAAATGCATGAACTATCCTGTGTCAGTTACAATTGTTTGTACCAGTTAATTGGCACCAGAAGTCTCAGACCCTGGAAAACTGCACAGATCTCTGTCCTCCAGCTGTCTAGTAGATGGCAATGAGTAGGCGTGGAAGGGTCCTTGTGATGGAAGCTACTAGCCTTTCTGGTGGCCTTTCCATTCTCAGTAAAAAGGGGCTCTCAGTGGGCAAATGGTTAATTTGTTTGTTTTTGTATTGGTAGGAACACTGCAGGAATTCTTTTTACTGATAGGGAAACATGTATTTCTATCAACTGAACTTTTATTTCTAAGTATTTTGTTTTCCCATTCACTACTGTAGTGGTAGAAACTGCATGAATGGTTCTTTTGGAAAGTTTTTAAATGTAGGTTCTTTAAACCATCTGAACAAATGAAGAGAGAGAGGGAGAGAGGGAGAGAGAATGTGTGTGTGTGTGTGTTAAAGTAACAAGTGTCTTTTTAGTATGCAAAGTGTGCGGTGAGGAGGAGAAAGAAGTGCTGTGACACAGCCCCTGTTCCCAGGGACAGATTTAGGGCAACATAAACTTGGAAGGTTTAACAGTGAAAGAGGTAAAGAGCAGTATATGACAATTTAGGGCATGTCACAAGGCCATCATTTCATGTTCTTCCTTAGAACCCGTCAGTGCTTTCCAGATGCGTTTAGATTACACTCTTAACTATATTTACATGGCCTGCAAGCCTGGACCTCTGTGGCTGTCTGTGCTGCTCTACAGCTAGCTGCCCCTCAGTCCCTGTGCTTTACGTACTCTTGCCTCCTCTCTGTTCTGAGAACAGGTTGAAGGCTTTCCTTCCTCTAGGCTCTGGTCTCACTGTCAGTGTCTCCCCCTCAGAGGAGATCCTCTGACTCCCTGGATCCCAAGCAAGCCCCACAGGCTTCTCTGTCACATTGTTCTGATGATTTATTTCATAGCACTTCGCACCATCTGTTATCTGCTTGTTTCCCTGTTCGTCATCTGTCCTCACCACTCCTAAAACTCAAACTTCCTAAATCTTGTCCACCGCTGTGCCCACCCCGGGAGGTGAGTCCAGGTGTGTAGTTGGTTTTGGAATCATGTGTCCTGGGCTCATGAACTGTGCTGTCTGTGAACATCCTGAGTTCTGAGAATGCTGATGCCACTGCTGTCGCTACTAAGTTGGACAGGCCTTCCGGGGGACTGGAAGTTTTAGGCAACATTTAAGGATATTGAGGGGAGGAGGCATTCTCAGTTGATGTTTCCAAGCTCGTACTGCCAATTGGGTAGATTCTTGTTTGTAAGAATCCCAGAACTCTATTTCTGGGTACTGCAGCTGCTGTTGGTGAAGACTGGTAAAGGTAACTAGTTGTTTGCCTGCCTTAACCAGATCTCTGTCTGGTTTCGGAACTGCCCACTGTCCCCTCTGCACATTTCCCCATGGCTGCACCAGCACCATGCCCAGTGCATTTATAGGCTGTTGTGTTGGTTCCTTAATGTATTCTGACAGTGAGAAGAAGTTAGAAGAGAGATTACCTTCTTGCTC